TATTAAGCCAGGACTTAGTGTTAATCAGCCTTGAGGCATTCTGACATCTAACAGCAGTAAAGCGTATGCTAAGCATACTCAGATTTTTGCTGAAGACATTCAGGAAACAGTGAATTTTACCAACGTTTTTGAGCAAAAAGCCTATGTCGTCTGTAGTAAAAATCACTTCAGTTTTTTTCAAAAAATTCGAATTTACTGTCTTTTGTTAGATCACCAACCACGAACAGATTAAAATCAAGCATATTCCGAAGGGAACAGTTATTAATCTTACCCTACAATAGTAGCAATTTTTTATCACTATGATTATGATTGATTACAGGATATTACCATTTCACACCTCTCCACATACATTGGTATGACTGCATTTATCAATTTTTTTATTCACCCAATCTCCTACTTGACATGAAAGATCATAGATTATTTTTTTACCTAGTCAAAGTTCATTCACAATTAAGTCGGTGACATTCCAGATTGACACTGACATAAATGATGGAATAAATGATTTTCAGTATGCATAACTAGAGTCTAAACCAAAAATTATTTCACAATTGACTCTAAAGTAGTCTCTTTAAGGATTTCACGTTAATTCAGTTGTCATTAAAAATCAAGTAGGTTTTAAAATAAAAGATTCAGGAATGAAACAAACTACATTGCTGTTGAACTCACTTTAATTCCAGTTTATTAAAGTTTAAAAATACTAGTGATTAGAGAATAGTGAAGTCAGAATAAGACTGACTTGGAATAAAACAATTTATCAGCGTTCTTCCTGTCTTTTAACGACAATTTAAATTATATAAAGAGTAAAAGCGACCTTCTAAATTATAAAATCTTTGAAATCAAAATCAGTAACACGCAAATAAAGATGTTGTTCAATATTTTAGAAACTGCTAAAAATAAAACCAAACAATCTACTTTCATTTGAAAGGTGCTGTCATACGTGCAAACATATATTTATCCAAGTAAACCAACTAAGTTTAATAGATGGTATCAAATTTTGGACATAACCTCGCCTAGTTAACTAGTTTCCTAGTTTTCTAGCCGGTACCAAGCCCTGGTAAAGAGAGATAGGGTTGGGCGTAGGACTAGCAACCCTGCACCACTAAACCTGTCAAACTGCTAAAGAAACTTCAACGCACAGGAAATATATTAAAAATGCAAAAACATTCGCTGCAATCATGGAGGCAAAATGACAGGACGGGCTGGTAAAACACTTCGGGAAACCAGTCAGCCAGCCATCTCTCAATGAAAGCAATAATAAGAATGTGGACGTGTGATGCACATACGATGTATGAAGCCGGCTGATAAGGCTGTCCAGGTAGCCAAAGAAATGCGAAGATATGGTCTAGAAGTGTCGACGGAGAGTCAGTTATCTACCCCAACCTGGTCACCCAGACGACAACCACGAGCACACTGAGGCACTGAGTGGCTACTATGATGTCACCATTACCAGCCAGAGCCCTGATGCAGTGGGAAACAATTTTATCCTGCAGGATCATGACAGTAAGATTCAACTCAAAAGCAAGGAAGGTCACAATTATCATGCAATACTACGCACACTGCTACAAACAACAGAGAAAAAGGAGGATTTTACAGACAACTACAAACAGTGATGGACAACATGACGAATGGTGACATCAAAATCCTGATGGACTATATGAATTCCAACCAAACTGAGAGCAGACAACACAGGAAGAGAACTCATCATGGGTCGACAGGCTGTCTCTCCCTGTCAGCGAAATCAATGACAACGGGGAACTCTTCTCAGACTTCTGCGCTTTCAATTACTCGGTGGTCGAAGGCAGCGTGTAAAAGCACAAGGATATACACAAAGCAGCATGAATTTCGCCTGAAAGTCACACCACAAACCAGATAGACTGCATCTCAATATTGCTCAAGGAAGTGGAGATGCAGTCCAGAAGGTGAGCAGATGTGGGTTCAGGCCATCAGCTAGTTCAATGAACCTTCAAGGTGAAGCTGAAATCTCTGAAAACAACTGGAGATGGCTGTTGTATTCAAGTTCAACATTCGGAAACAGAAAGACGCAACTACAAAAGAAGATACCTTCACTGCAGCTATCGGAGCAGTATCGGAGACACTATGTGGCATCAATGAGGAAACTTGATTGGAAAAACTTTGGAACTAACACTCTGAAGGCGATATCCAAGAGAACGTGTACAACTGTTCTAGGAAGAGAGAATAGATACAACAACGAATGACCCTCAACGGACATCTGGAAGCTAATAGAACAGAAGAGACGAGGGGAGAGGAGGATGGTGAAAGAGAAGGTGACTCAATGTAGAGATGGACAGGAGAAGGAGGGGGCTAAGTTCAAGTTCAATGTACACTGCACTGAATGAAGAAGTGAAGAAGAGTGCTTGGAAGGACAAAAGACAATCCTACGACACACTGGCCGGCAACTAGAGCAGAACAGGCGGTCTGCAGGTCAAAGAGACATAATCATATTATATTAGATAGCCAGGCTGCTCGCTATCAACCCAGATGATGAAACTCATTGGAAGAAAGGCTAGCTACTTCGTCAAGCGACCAAAGAATAGCCACTTACACCTCATTCTGCAATAACTGCAGTGGAATAATGCTCTTGTCCACGCCAAGTAAAATACTGAGTCACCTCATCGTGGAGAGAATGAAGGTCACACCGCGTGCAGAACTCCGCCAGCCCCACGAGGAAAAGCTAGCTGGATTCACGAAAGCCAAATCATGTGCTGATCAAATTGCAAATCCACACATCCTCATCGAACACAGAATACAATGGCAGTTAAACCTCTACCTCAACTTCATCGACTTCGGAAAGGCCTCCACCACACAGCGTTCACCGAGAAGTAATTTGGAAACTATTTCAACAGTATGGCGTGCACTGACCCAAATCTTGATCAACCTCATTCAACATTTCACTATATGACGACACCACGTGTCAGTCAGGTGATCCACAGTGGAAAAAACACTCAGTGAGGAGTTCGAAGTGCATACGGGAGTAAGACAAGGCCACTGCATATTGTCACCGATGATATTCCTAACTGTGGTGGACTGGATTATGCGTCAGATGGGACGTCCGACGGGAGTGAGAAGACAGGAATACTCTGGACCACCGATGAGAAGACTCTAGATGATCTGGATTTCACAGATGATGTATGTCTAATGTCACACAAACTCGAAGACTCACAGGCGAAAGCCAACAAAATGGCTGAAGAAGCAGGCTGACAGCGAAGACAGGACTCCAGGTGAACATAAAGAATATGAAGGTGATGAACATAATTAACCAACAATGATGACAATCAGCACCAATCACCATCAAAGCGAGAAGTTTGACACAGGTGACTTCCTGGCTTCACTTATCTAGGCAGTCAGCATCTTTTCAACCACAGGTGGAGTGGATGAGGATGTCAAATCCAGCCAGAATCAGAAAGGCGAGATACGCCTCCATCAACTTGAAATCAATCAGTTTTGAAATCTTCTGTACTCCACAGCATAAACAACAAGATTCGGATTTTCAACACAAATGTGAAATCAGTCAGTTCTACTATACGGGTCAGAAGCTTGCACTGCGTATCACAAAATGGATTTCCAACAGACAACTGCAGACTTTAATAGAGAGCTGCCTTCGCCGGCTCCATCTTAATGATCAGATGTCCAGTCACTAAGGATCAGTAACAAGAAACTGTGGCAACAAGCCAAACCAAGAGCTGGTCGTTCAGCAAATATGTAGGAGAAAATGGAGACGGATCACACATGTGTTGAGGAGGCCGCCGAATGACATCGTGTGCCAGGCCGTCACTCGTTTGGAATCCAAATGGTAGGCGACGAGTAGGTCGTCGGAGGGTGACATGGAGGACATTGTGTGAGGAGGATATGAGAGATTATGGTCAGTTTTGGACGCAGCTGAAGTGGATGGCAGAAAATAGAAGGAAGTGGAGATTTGTTGTTGAAGCCCTATGTTCCACTTGGAATCCAAGGGAATAATAATATTTGTGTATGAATCCAGTTTGAATGTAAACAGATGAATAAATATTGCACGTCTGTAAGTTTACTTTCTTGAATGAAGCAATAACAACACATTAAGGATAAAAATGATCCATTTTATTTTGTCGTTATTTCGTCAACTGCATTACATGACAGACTCCCTATATGCTTCATCTGATCAAGATTTGGAATAAAATATCTCAAACTTTTCGTATGTTATATATATTTATATATTACTGACGGTAAATGAGTAACTAAGAATTGCGCAAAAAAACACATAATATAATAACGAAGTTAGTGTTATTCTGACACTATGCATTCGTTTTTTAGAGAATAGAAAATGAACTCAGACTATCTCTAGTTTAATATAAGAAAATATGTATTTTCTGCCATTTCGCATCACAGTGATTTCGAAATCCGAGGTTACTATTTACTTATATAATGACGAAAAATTAATGAAAATAGTGATTTACCTAAATTTATTTTGTAATCAATTGAATTGCTCAAACTATAAGCTGGAAAACAAATGTTTAGTTTAATGGTATTTTAGGTAGCTCTTGTCAACAAGTGAAAGAGCTTACACATGTAACTGCCGTGGAATCACTTTAAGCCAACACACTGTAAGATGAATATTAATTATTCCCGACTACTAGCATCTGCTGGATACAAACGGAAGTTTTAGTAGTTATTCCAAGTTAAATTAGGAAAAATGAGATTACGAAAGTGTTGGCAAAGGACATTTAGTATAAAATATAGATACACACGCTTATGTCATATGCAGTATGAAGATATGCAATTTCCTGAGCTGCTGTGTTGCAAATTGCAGCACAAAATTCTACTATGACTTCGCACGGCTTTAAAATACATATCTATGCCCCTATGATTAGTCAAAGACATGCAGCATGATATATATATCATTGCTTAACGGAAATATTGCAGCAATAAAGCAGTCACACAGTAGAGCTTTTATAGGAGAAAAATTACAAAGTATTTCAGCACAAAGCTTCTAAAAAAATACTTACCTGGATGATTAGAAGCCTCTATCTCTGCATCTTCACACTCAGAAGCAGCATCTAGCAGAATCCAGTGAAGTGTATACAGAAGTTTAGTTTCTGTTTGACTAAAGTTCAGTTGTGTTCTATCATGTGACAATTCACTGTTATTTGCTGCTCCGTGTTTTTGGTGTTGTTGATCTGCAACAGACTTGTCACGTAACTTTTCTCGAAGCATTACAGCACCACAATGTAACACATGGGGAAATGCAGCCTTAACGAATTTCCACCTACTGATTGACTGTATCGCCTCACATAATACTATGGACCGACCATGCAGTATATTTTGAACTACAACCTTCTCAAAAGTCTATGAGATTTAAAAGTTAATAAACAACAGGACATGTACGGTTTAATCTCCTTTAAACGTAGAGAGCGAAGTAATAAGAATAGCACTTAATGCAGCTAGTCGCGTAAATTTATCGGAAAATATATAGTAGCCTCCAATAGTCCTATACCAATAGGTGTAAAGAAAACTTCACTGTGTGTAAAGGTGAGGTAAAATTCAGAGCGGCATTCTTTAGTCGTAACCAAATAATCGTTTCATCAGCAAACCCATAAATTCATAGGTTAACAGAATCACATTATACTCTTAAATCACAAATATACGATAGGTGCCTCACCAACACAAGGTTATCTGCTTCACACTAGTTATTTCTGAGTACATTATTATGTCCATACTAAAAATATAATCCACTGGGAATTTGAAAGCTTACAAACTTCGACACAAAGAATATACCTTGCCTACTCTGCAATCAGCAACCTAGGTAGTTTCCATGATAATGAACAAATTCACACCAAATATATCTTCATGAAAGGAATAATAATAATAATGGCTTTATTCCAAACAGTATTTGTGGTACAGGTATGGAATTTTCAGCGTTCATTACAATATTGCATCTAATTACCTCATAAATTTTATAAGGATTTAGAAATATAAAGCAACAACAACAAAAAGAAAAAGAGAAATAAAAGAAAAAAAGAACAGCATTGCATTCACATATTTAAACAATGCACCACAGGATATGATATATAAAATTAGTCTGTAATAGAATATATGAGCAACAATATAATAGTAACAAAGAAAGGAGAACAAAAGCTAATGGGAACTATTTGTTAGAGTGCCGCAGTAAATTGATCATGTCATGCCTAACAGTTTTCTCATCACATAACAGCTGTGCGAGATAAGGTATTGTGGAGTTTTTATACTTGGTAGTCCTGGCATATAGCTTCCTATAGTTGCTTCTAGTTCTACCAGATGAAATGCAAGGAGAGAGCTGCGTATGGAGAGGGTGTTCGGGGTCTGACAATATAGAATTTGCTAGTTTCTTACATGACATTATATGTCTATCCACAATTGTGTTAACCAGTTGGTTTAACGAAATCCCACTTGCCCTACTAACAGCTTTTAGTGCCCTATGCAGCGAAGCAAAGTCTTTCTTAAGTAGTCCAGGAAAGATTAATGGGGAGCAGTAAAGAGGGATGGGTAGAATACAGGAATTGACAAACTGAGAAAGTAAAGACTGCTTTATACCAGACTGCCTAAACTTCCTTAGGTAGAACGTTAAGCGAAACATCTTTCTAGTCACTAGCAAGATGTGAGAGGACCAGGAAAGATCGGAGGAAATACTCAGTCCAAGGTACTTGACATCTGATGTAGTTTTAACCTCTATGCCGTCAATGATAGTGGGACCATGTGAGCTAGCTAGTTGTTGAAGGTCACTTTTTCGTCTGAAAGTAAAATTTACTACCTGACATTTAGACGGATTCAGCTTAAGACCGTTTGAAGAGGACCACTGACTAATTTCCGAGAGAAAGTTATTTAATATGGAACAGTCTGACTGAGAGTTAACAGGCATGGAGACAGAAAGGTCATCAGCATACTTGACAAAAGTGGCTACATCAGAATGGGGCAAGTCATGTAAGAAAAAAGAAAACAGAAAAGGAGAAAGAACGGCACCTTGAGGAACACCAGCTAAAGTAAGTGAGGTAGTGGAGGACTTTCCATTGTAGACAGTGTACTGCTTCCTTTCAGAAAAGTAGGAATACAACCACTTATTTATCCAGCTCTCACTCTGTGTTGCAGCAAGCTTACTTAACAAGAGAGACCTAGGTACAGAGTCAAATGCAGATGTGTAATCAAGGAAGGCACACCGAACATATTTGGCTCCTCTATCTAAACTAGAGACTATATTATGATATAGAACTACAGCGGCATCTAAAGTACACCTACTATGTTTATAGGCAAACTGGTTGGGGTCGTTAAAAGGCTTTAAAGACGGTTCAAGATTAAGTAAAATAAGTCTTTCCATAACTTTTAAAAAAGTTGAAGAGGAAGACACCTTCGCGACTCAAATAAATTATCAGTTGTTTCTTCTTTAACGTTATTCATATGTCTACCTCTAATTATCATCAGTTAAGCTAAATAAATATGTATCATTGACACTCACTACAGATTTTTAGGAATCCAGTGACAATGCATATAGTTAACAGTCATATCTTACGAAATAGAGTTCATTTCTCTGTTACATAATTTAGCTATATGAAAACAAAGTCTTTGTCAATTAAATATGTTCATCTACGGTACTTTCTAAAACATATACAAAGACACTTTATATATTTTTCACACTAATATGCCTGTAAACTCCTTAACAGTATCTTCTTACCCACGCACCAAATACTACCCACTTAGCACTGACCTCGGGCGCACTGCAGATACTCTGGGGCAGACTGCAGATGACTCTATCACTTTCTGCAATGCACCCGAAGATTTTGCACCGAGATTTCTGCAGTGCGCACGAAGAAAATGCTAGCTCGATTACCTCACCGAGTAGGATTGGAATGATAAGCTGTCCATCCAAAGCGCGTCAAACTAATATCATAAAGCTGAAAAATGACCCGAAAAGTAACTAAAGTCATTAAGACAATAGTGCGATTGCAAGCCAAGTGTTAAATCTTGCTGAAAATGAATGCTAACAGAAAGGCTAAACATTTAGTGGAAACCTGTATGATACTATCCCATTTGAGTATTCCAGAAGCAGACAATTAAAAAAATGAATCAAACTGCACCTTATAAAACTGAATTAAAATATTTTGTACCCCAAAAATATAACATTTATAACAATATACATAATATCAATTCTAAAAGTTCGACTGCTCTTATGAGAGATGTTTCCGGAACCATCATAACAATACCCCACAAAATACCTCACAGCGTAACTGTAATGTGCTTCGCGATCTCAGTTCATAGCCGCTCGCACTAGTAATTTCAATACTTTAGCATAAATATTTTCAATTGTAGGATGTCTAAAATAAACTTTTATTTTACGACATCTGGCATGAGATATAGGTATTATGTGATCCAAAACTCTGGTTTACTTTTGAAGTCAAAAACCATAATATGACTTGACAAAACTATAGCGAACAAACTTACAGTGCATACTCCATCTCTTGCAGCCGGCTTCTGTAAAAAGGAACTATTTTTCAGTGACATATACAGGACTGACAAATTCTTACCATGTCTGAGAAAATAAAAAACTTTGTATTGGTAGTGGAATGTGGGATGATGATGACTTATTCATCAAAATAAACAACCTAAATATAGTCGGAAGGCTAGGACATTTGAAATTTTGCCATATGAAGCTGATTAAATTTTCACGTGAATAAACACCAACAGACGTTACTGAAATCCAGTACTTTTTGCAAGCTAACGTGAGAATTACAGTTAAATATGGTTGACATATTTTTTTCTATTTCAGTAGCATTTAAGCTAACCTTGATATATGATTTATCCAATATTCTTCTTAAGAGCTTGTTGCTTGATGATGAGGTAACAGTTCCTGCTCTTTGGAGTTTATAAACGCGGAGAATACCGTCGCCTGCTTTTCGTGGCTCTAAGTGATCAAGACTGAAGTCCTTAACTTCACTTTCAAATTAATCTTTACGAACATAACAGGATGGCTGTTACTGTCCTTATTTGTCTGTTTCAAACCTCATCTAAACCCAGAAAGAGAGGGAAATTAGGGCATGGGACTAACGAACGTGGCTCAGATTAGTTGGTGATGGTTTTCTAGAAGTTGAAAAATTTGACTCAGTAGTAGACGGCCACAGTGCTTCATTACTACCAGCAGGTTTATTCAACCTTTCACTTAGTGTCATTTGTATTTCACTGAAGGAAAACCGAAATGATGAGACATCGCAAAAGGTGCTGTGTGGGAGTTTGCACATGGTATGACTGGTTGGCTGGGTTGATCAAACAGAACTTCCAGGCAGCTAAAGCATACTTTTTCCATAGTAATGAAGTAAAAACAGAGTAGATGTACTGACCATCATGAGAATAATAAGATTTATCAACTCCAAATTTCAGTGTATAATCTAGGTATTAACAGGTGGACGCGACTGTTTGATTTCAGAGCTTGATGTTCGCCGATAATAAGTTGCCAGTTGCCAATTTCGTTTGGTGTTTTTAAGCTTAATAACCTGTTGACGTCGGCCGTTTCTTGACCACTGAGTGTGATAAATGTATCTCCTGTCCAGACAGTTGTTAACTTCTTCGACGGACCCACCCTTCAGGATGACCGAACCCCCGACATCACCCAGATGGTGAAGAAAGGCGGCGGAATACCGATGAATGAAGAAGTTGGAGAGTGCAGCAATACGCAACTACAAAGGAGTGTAATCATTACCCTGTATCCCTTTGAACACCAACTGTCTTTACCACAAGATGACAACACCGGTAGTGAAAATATATGTGTTATGTGGGGATTCACTAATTTCAAGAGCACCCTATTGATTTACAAGAGAACACAGTTTTCAAGACACCGTTCACTTAATGTATTCAATCAGCGAATACAGTGCGATTTGCTTCTCAGTCGACCCAACTTTCAATCGTACCACTAAGTAAAGATTTTTTGAAGTGCCTATCAAATTTGCCCCATTTGTCTTCGGAAATTGTGTAACAGTAATTTCTAGGATTCGGAGCAGGTGTAGTTTTCATGAAAGTGACTTCACTAGATGCTCCGATGTACTATATCTCACGAATGAACGCAGTTTACTCATATAAGTCAAAGAGTTAAGTTTTGATGTCAGACAGAAGCTAAGAATGAAAACCTGGTTCTCTTTTCCTATACTGCTTCAGGCATTTTGAACGAAGCATGCGCAGACTACTATTCTTTGTAACTGTGAGAATTACCCAACATATAGTTTACCTCCTTGCTTTATGTGGAAATAACTTTCAAAATTTAAATGCTTCATTTATGTGTATAAGATATTATTATCAAGTGTGTTCTCTTCCGTAAGACTTCTCTTGTGCAAATCAATCGTACAGCCTTATATCTACATGGCCAAATTTTTTCACAGAATTACCAAAATAACATTCTGCATCGTCAAGAAATCATGTGTGCGAAAATATAATATGTGCGAACCATCTGCGAGGAATTATTCTCCTGTTTGTTGCCCCAGTCTGCCAGCTCACCTAAACGTGAATAATGAAAATTGCACCTTGTTAATCTACAAACGGCCCTATGTTAGGATTTACAGCCATAAGGCACCTAACGCGGTTCATTATAATCCTTATATCCCAAACATTCCTCCCTCTTAACCCAAATATTGCTGATGACAATTATTTTATTTGAATCAATTTCTTTGAGAGATCAAATAATAATGTCATACTTTGGACTTTACTAAGCAGTTTCATTTTCACCCTTGACTGACTCATAAATTATTCGTTTCAACTACAACTTCGTTGGATGCCTGGAATTTTATCATTTTCTAATAAACAGATGAAGCGAGAAAGTTGAAGTATTACTACTTGATGTATTTCTTAAATAGAACTGTACTGCGGAATTTTCAATAGTTATGTTTCCTCATTGAAGAAAGCAGCGTCATGACTCATTTACATGAACTAATTTACCCAATGTGAATATGTGGAGGTAAAACCTGAAGAGGTATAACTCTTCGCTCAACAGTCTGTTTCATAGTAATTTTGAGGAAATTATAACGATGCTAGTTTTCAAGGGTATATAGTCCACCTTGAATATTTGAAATTTTGTTTTAACGCATTCATGTAATATGGCGCCACATCGCTCTTCTTCTGGAGTGACAGCTCGCATATAGGTCGCACCCTCGTTGTGCTATCAATAAGCACACTCTTCTAGCATGCTACTCCATCCAGTTTGAAGTGAGAGCCGGCTGCTAGCCAAAGTCGGTAGACATTAATTGACGTCAGTGTTTATGTCCCCAATATTGGTGGTGAGAAAATGAGAACAAAGGCTTTGCGTAGGCGGATACAGCTAGCATATGGATGATCTGACAAAGCCACAAAGAGATGCAAGGTTAACTTTCTGTGAGAAACAACCAATCAAAAACTGCATTTTCTACTAAAAATAATATACAATAATGTACATTAAAATCTAGAAATATGTGTTGATTTTCCTTAATAAACGATCTGTTGCCTGGCGGTTGTCTTCTGTTGTTACAAGTTAACAGATAAATTCTACAGTATTCTTATTTATTAAGTCAGACATAATCTGTTGTAAAAATATAATTCGCAACTGGACACGCTAACAAGTCACAAGACTTTTTGCTTCGAGTTCGTTTATCGGTGCTTGCACGTTAGGTAGAGTTCTGATCGGGGTATTAATAATAATATATTTATTCCTATCTATATAGGACACACCAGTTTTACAGGAATGGGTAAGTATTATTTAAATTACATAAGTTTTATTTATGGTGAAATTACATGGTTTTTGTCCTTTTTGACATTAGTTTGCGGGTACAATCTGCTAACTACTTATTCAAAGGGACACATTAAGAAACATAGAAGTTTTTAGTAAGTGCGGTTAATCAAGGCCTACCTTCAGTACAACCAACCACTTGCAGGTCCCATACTTTTCAGCCTTAGGAAAAGAACACTTGCTTTAACTTTCCACTGTTGCACCAAAGTGTGGTTTGTACGTTTTAGGAGTGTAATTTTTGAAGGCACTTAGTCTGTCCTTAGTCTATATCTGAATTCATATCCCTTGCTATCAGCAATGACTGTGAGGATTGAAATGCAGGTAGGTTATTGTAATAATGCAACAGTTTTACACGCGATGCATTTTTTTCCGCCATCCTCTTGGCAGATCACATCAAATATGGAATGTGATAAAAGAAATATAGGAGCCCATGGTGTCACAAAAAATCAAGCAACAACTAAAATTCTGGTTGTTTGGCTACGGACAATGAACCAATTTCATACAGAATAATGCTATGATACTAGTCAGTATGCATGTGCAGTAAATGTCCTGCTACTAGACTTTTCTGAACTACCAAGAATTAGTTTTGAGGACAAGGGAGCGGCAGTTAGAGTCATAGTTGTTCAATACTTTCCTGTGAGGGCATTATGACCATCTTATTCCTAAAAATCTACTAAATGTCCTCAAAAACATATCAGAGAGATCAGACCTGCTCACTGAAGTCTAACTGCAACGTTTTGTCAAAGTAAAGTAATCATTCATGAAATTGGCATCAGGAATCTGTGTTAGTGGATGAGCATGTACCCACGAACCACTTATGAGTCGCACATATGATTTTCGGGTTCCGTGGTAAGCTGGAAAACATTGGTTCACCTAATTGTAGCGATGCATTATATTCTTGATGGACAAATTAATTCTAAACGCAGGTCACATAGTTGGAGCGGAGATCTCATTACAGGTTTTCATGGACCACAATATATGATCTGCTGTATACAGTAAGGGGCAGTTAAGAAGGTTAGGATTGTTGTATGATGTTGAAGCCTATTTATTGAGTGATATGAGTAGTGCGGTAGCACTCACTGACTGACTGGTTTCAACGTAGAACTTTGCACAGATGTACACCGGTTCGAGGTTCCACACTCCGTTCAGCGCACGAAGTAGGAGGAGAGAGTACAGAGAGATAATGAACAGAAATATGGGGTAAAAAAATTGGTAATATGGAGGAACAATATAGTTTTATTGGATGTTATGAATTGCAAAGATTGGATGCATCTGAGCCATTGAAAATGATTTTGAGCCCTATCACTGATTGTCTCCAGCCATTGGTTAGTACCATCCTGAGGACTCCGACCAGGAAGTATACATCACCCTATGTGGCTTAAACTAAAGTTAGCACTCATAGCAACCAGCAGTCCTAGCTAGCCACATATTCTAAACTCCAGGCCCCGTTTTGATGGAACTTATCAGTGGTTTGTCAAGCTTATCTCGGCTAAGAGGCCCAAACTAGTGAGAAACATTTAGATTCTGGTTATCCACTTGGAGTAACTAAGGATAGGCTGTAATAATGTCACAAATTAATCCGCTATCTGTGGTCTGCACAGTTCAGAGTTAAACGTCCACTCAGTATCCACCGGGGAACAAGAAACTAGACAGAATTTTAGTGGTTTGAACTTACTTGGCACTCCGATTTGAGTTAAACCAGGTATACGGTTGATGGTATCAGTACAAAATAAGCGAAATGCTGAAACCACCTCGTTATGGCTAGGTAGTATTACTGGCCGATATGAGTGGTATCCAATCACTTGTATTGAGTGATCAACAGTCTTTTGCGTCATGCTATTGAATGT